AGCACAGATAGTGAATATCTTACCTCTGACTGTAACAGAGCTGCTCTCAGTGTGTAAAGAATGTAAAGAAACCTGACTTTTGTTGCAGATTTCAGATGGGTAACTTTTATCTGTTTATCTAGCTAAGCATGTTCTCTTTTAATTTAAAAAGAATTTTAAAAAAACAATAAAAATAATACAGAATTTCAGAACAAGGTGATAGGAAATTTAACAATGGTTATTATATTGCATATTGTTACCTTCAAAGTATTTGCTCAGACTACCAGATACAGGCATGTAAGATTGATCAAACAATATAAGCACTAACTGCTCCTTTCAATGAACTAATAGAAATTGTATTACCATTATCTTAGCTATCTTGTGTATGTTATACATATTTAATATAATCTCAATCAAAATACCACTAGCATTCTTCACAGACCTAGAGAAAACATTCCTAAAATTCATCTGGAACCAGAAGAGACCTAGAATAGCAAAGGCAATCCTGGGCAACAAATGCAAGGCAGGAGGCATCACAAGCATGTTCTCCTATAGGCTTAGTTCCCTATATTTTTTGGCACTGAAATATTTTTTAAGAATATATATACATGTCAAAAGTTTCAAAGAAAATACAGTCAAAAAATTTCTCCTCACATCTCTAGCTCTCTGTCTTCATTTTCTGTCCCAAGACTAACTCATAACATGGTTGTGTGTGTCTGTCTCAAGGTAGGTATGTATTTGTCTCTCGGTTTATTGCTTACACACACACACACACACACACACACACATACTGAACAAACACTGTGGTAGATACCATTCCACTGTTGCTTTCTCACACTACTGCACCAACTACACATATGAATATGTTGCACTTTACACAAGTGGTGTGTATGTCCTACCGTATTGGTTACATTCAAATCTACTTGTTAACAAAATGTGGCTGTCTGATACGTGCTGTAGTTCTTGTAACCCTTGGATGGCCATTTAGACAGTTTCTAGTCTTTCCTTACTGTAAACAATCTGGCACAAATATCAGCATAGATACACATTTGCATTCACCTATGAGTATTTCTTATGTAAACTCATGAAAAGAAACTTGCTAACTAGAGAATGTGTAGATTTTTAATTTTTGTAGCTCATATCATCAAATTTCCTAAAAGAACTCATCATCCAGGTAACAGTTTCACTGACTGGATGTGACACATAAGAGGCCTATTTTCCCACACTCTTGTGTCATCAAACTTTATATTTGCCAATTTGTTAGCCTAAAATTGATACTTTGTTTTAATTTGCATCTCCTTCAATGTATATAGCTATTATTGAGAAGTCATTAATATTTCTTTTGCTGTGAGCTGTTTATCTGTATCTCTCATTAATTTTTCAATTAGTTTGTCTTGTTCTTTAATCATTTGTTTGATTTCTGTACATGTTAAGGTATTAAGCTTTTTGAATCAAATGTGTTCCAGTTTTCTAGTTTATTGATTTTAGTTCCCAGATTTAACACACATAACACACACACATTACATATATATAAATATATATATTTATATATATGTAGTTAATAGACTTTATTTCTTAGAGTGGTTGTTTCTATGCATGCATGTGTGTATGATGAGGATCAAACCAAGGGCTTTTCACATGCTAGATAAGCCCTCTGTCACTGAGCTAAACCCCCAGCCTTCTTAGAGCAATTGTAAGATTACAGAAGGATTCAATGAACAGTACAGAATTCCCACACACCTCTCTCCACAGACTTCCCCCCCCAGAATTTCTCCTGTGCTTAACATCTTTTGTAGGTGTGATACACACCCATATTTTTAGCCCTGCACATTTTTAAATGTAGTACAGTGAATGAATTTTTTATTTAATGGCTTCTGGGTTTCAAGTCTTTCTGAGGACTTCCTAAGTTTGAGGTTATTAAATCAGTCTGAGAGTTTGTGGTATAGGTTTTTACCATTTATGTATGGGGTGGTATTACAGCAATTAATGTTCTGCTATGTACTGAAATGGTCAAATAAATTTTGTATATTGATCTGTTAATGTAAAAAGTACATTAATGGATTTCCTACTCTTGAACCAACCTATCATTGTTGAGACAAGTTCTTTTTTTTTTTGAGACAAGTTCTAGTTGGTCACAATGACTTTTTCTTTTAATACATGCAGAATTTGATATGGAAATATTTCACTTGTAACCTTTCCTGCAATCATAATTTTAGCTTCCCTTTTCTTTCCTCTGAAACTGCTGACACAAATTGCAAATATCCAGAGTCTGCCACAGACACCCCTGGAACAGGTGCTGTTTTCAGGTACAGATCTTTGAATGCCTTTCCAATTTATTTTATGAAGATTGGTTTGCATAGTGCTTCTATTTCTTTCTCTTTTTTCTTAATGTGATATGTTCTTATTATTATTAATTAATTTATTTATTTTTGGTGCCAGGAATCAAACTCAGAACCTTGTGCTTGCCAGGCAGGCGCTGTGCCACTGAGCTATATGCCCAGCCTTCTTTTTAGAGGAAATTATTGTTTCAGAATGATTTGAAATATTTAGTATTTGAATTTATCTCTTTAGGGCTGTAAAGCCACGTCTTATTTTTTGACACTTTGAATGTTGTTCACGTGCCTCTGTTGTTCACCAGCCCTACATTTTTGTTGCTGTTCTTCACTTTTGATCTTGATTCATGTTTTCAGGTTTATTAATCCTTTCTTGGGTTGATTTTGATTTTCCATTTCTATCTTCTAGTGAAAACATAATTCAATTATTTTTAGTCTTTCCCATTTTCTTACAAATGTAGTTAAATCTATTTCTTTCAAATACGCACATACACATCATCACCATCATCATCATCATGCTTTCATTATTGTTCACTTTTTTTTTTTTTTCTTTTTTGAGACAGGGTCTCACTATGCAGTTCAGGCTGGCCTTGAGAGCTCACTTTGTAGCTCAGGCTGGTCTCGAACTCCACAACAATCCTCCTGCCTCAGCCTCCTGAGTGCTGGAATTACAAGCGTGTGCCACTACGTCTGGCTTATTGTTCACTTTAAAATGCCTTGTGACAAACACCTGCCTGGCAAGTGCAAGGTCCTGAGTTCAATTTCTGGTACCAAAAAAACCCCAAAACTTTGCAATTTCTGTCTTCTTAAGGCCAAGGATCCCTAAAAAGTGTATTTAAAATTTTATTCTTTTGTTATTTTTTTCATTGTCAATACTTTATTAATTGATTAATTTCTGCACTGTGGTCAGTGATTAAGATTTCTATGATTTCTGCTTACTGAAAACTTTAAAACATTCTTGTGGTTCACTCCATGGTCAGTTTCTATAATTGTTCTATATATGTTTAATGGGCGTGCAATCTCCCTTTTGAGTTGCTTTTAAAAAATTATAAAGCCACAGGGGGAGAATCCTTAAGCTTCATCTTCCAGTTTAATAAAAGGCTTTTCAATTATCCATTTAGCCAGTTACTGAGGTTTTCCTACAACCAAGCAACAATTCAATTTCAAAGGTCTCTGTATGGCTTTTTTTAATGCATGTAATGTTTAATTCTACCTGATGTCAATTTTACTTGTTGTAATACCTTGTTATTTCCCTCCACTCACTTTGCTGCCTCAGGTGTTACTATGTGTTTGATTTTGTTGCATGGTGCAAACAATTTGTGGTTCTTGGTTTTGGTGCTCGTGTTGCTTTCTGAGGATCCTGGATAGGTCATTCACGAGTGGTGTGTATGTTCTTTCCACACTGTCTCCCTGAGGGTGGGGGAGAGGTGGGACAGATGGCCTTGATACAGCCACTAGTTGAAGGGG